CAGTAGGAAGTGTGTCATGAAGCTGTATCTGGTTTCAGAGTAATTGTTCATGTAGAAATTCAAAATGACAAGAGAACAATTCTGACTCAGAAAGTTTAGATTACTAAACTTAATTGTATTGTATAGCCAAAAAGTTGAATAAAGAAGTGTGATTAGCAGATGAGCTGGGTGTGGTACTGTGTGCCTGGGATCCCAGCTACTCGGGAGACTGAGGCGGGAGGTTCAGTCGAGCCCCAGAGTTCATGGCAAGACCCATCTGTAAATTGACACATGAATGAGTGACCAGATGACCCCTGCATTTCACTGTAACTTTTTAGTAAACTTCACCTCAGTCTACTTCTTACTTTATATGTGCTAGACTATTAGTATATTAAAGTAATGAATATCCCTTGTATTAAAATTTGGATCTTTACATCAATTATTTGCTAAATTGTATCACTTTGTCGAGTTTTGCTCTTTATTCTGTACATTATGTAAAGTCTGACTTCAGATGTTCCTCTGAAACTCGAAGGTGATTTTCAGCGGGACCTCACTGCAATTCCTGAATCCCACTCAGGTTGCCGCAGTGCTAGTTCTTCTTCAACTTTGTCACAATAATGTGTCATAATCTTAGGTCCAATAAATGAATATAAGTCTGTAAAATAAATACAAAGCACAAATCTTAGACATTGAGAGAGCCACAGGTGGAGCGTGCTTAAGCAGATAATCGGTACACTGTTGAAGCTGTTTTTCTGCTTCCTGTTTCCAAAAATGCATATTTCAATATAATACATACGAAATCTGAGAAATTCAGCTAGTAAGAATATTACTGGAATTTCTTTGCTGTTATATATATCAAATATCCTGATATCTATTAAGTATCCTGATATTGTATTGTCTAGGGATACATAGACACATAAGATGTGCGTGGGTATGCAATTTTTAAATGTAAAAGTGCTGCTATTGAACATGTTTTATGTGACATAAACAACTTTTGGCTTGACTATGGGCCAGTTACCCATTGAACCTCCGTGTCCAACTTAAAAACTAGCAAACTGCAGTAAAGGTCTTCCTGAGCCTCCCAGCCTGGCAAACTGTGACTGTGTGCTTGGTGTGGAATGCTGTGTGGACAGCACCTTTGACACTCACAGCTGTCCTTATTAGACTTAGCCTGCGAGTGCTGGGCCCAGGTGTTACTCGCGTGCCTCCAGATCTCAGCTGCTGTATCTACACATCACTGTGCTCTCACTTGTTCCACCTTAAGCAAGTTCACACACCGTTTAGTTGTGGTTGAATGTGTGTAGCGTGACCTTGTTGAAGTCTGCATTGCCGACACGCCGTTTAGTTGTGGTTGGATGTGTGTAGTGTGACCTTGTTGAAGTCTGCGTTGCCGATTCTTGTGCAGCCAACACCACCATCCCCTCCAGAACTGTTCCATCTTCCTAAACGGGAACTGCCCCTCTCCCCATTCCCCTTCCCCTAGACCCGGGCACCCACCATCTACTGCTTTCTCTGTGGATTGGATAGCTCTAGGGACCTCATGGAAATGGGATCAGACAGTGTTTGTCCTTTTGTAACTGGCTTCTTTCACTCAGCATAATGTCCTCAAGGTTGAACCACATCGCAGCCTGGGTCAGAATTTCCATCCTTTTCAAGGCTGAATAACACTCCGTTGTGTGGATGGAGCACATTTTGCTCGTCCATTTATCTGTTGACGGGCACCTGGCTTGCTTGCACCTTCTGGCTGTTGTGAATTATGTGAGACTCAGAGATGAGCGTGTCCTTGTCTTGTTGAAGTTCACCAGTTTAAATTGCTTCGTAGATATGGATGCTAACAGGCGATAAACTCGAGACAGCTACTTGCATTGCCAAAAGTTCACATCTGGTGTCTAGAACACAAGACATTCATATTTTCAGACAGGTAAGTATGTATCTTAATCACTTTGAATTTTTAAACATTTATCTCACACAAATAAAGCCTGTTGTTTTTCTCAGAATATATGTTCAGTTATTTACTAATCACTAAATATCTTTTTAAAAAGAAATACTGTACTTTTTTTAATTTATAAAGACATGTTCAAATAGATATTTTTAACCACATACATTAATAGTGATCAAAAGCTGCTTTTTGACAGATTGAACAAACTCTTAAGTTCAAAAGTGTTTTTTGGTTATACTATTAGTATTATTTTTTACTATTTTAAAAGAGGCATACTGCAGTTATTTTCAATTTGTAAAAATGTATATTGATAAAAAATTACATTTTTCTACAAGTTACACATATTACATGTTGTCCGAAGCTGCTGTTGTGAAACAAGCTATAAATACAAAATAGGAATGTGTTTTTAATCACTGCCATTTTCAGAGCAAGTGCTGCCTTAATTAGTTCAAAGAACATTGATAGAAATGATCTAAGTTTATGTGTTTACTGTATGTATTAGTTATGACTAAATTTAATTCAAACAAAAAATAAAAATTTCTTGTTCTTGATTGATGGTGGGTGAACAGACATTCTGTGTCTGCGTCTGTTCTAAATGAATCGCTTGCACCTACAGAAGGAGTTATTTGAATATAATTTACATGTAAATGTAGTTTGTTTTGAAGCATCAGAATCGCAAATTAGGCCCTGAAGACTACTATTTGCAATTAAATTATTAATGCTTCTGATAAAACTTCAGATCAATTTTTGTTGACTTTTCAGTGTTATAGCACCACAAATTAAATTTTTCACAATAAAACCTACCTATTTAAAGATGAGTCTGAGATTGTTAATTTGAACCACATGAAGCTTTTAATTTATTTCGGTCCTATTAATAGGACTATTAATATATCATTTATTTTATGCTCCATAAAATCTCCACAGAAAGAATATGAAAAACCAGTTACGTTGGTTTCTGAAATGTTTTTCTTCTAAAACGAAGGATATTTCAAGATTATGACTTAATTTTACTCTTTTAGGTTTTTTAAAAATCCCTCAGACACTGAGTAAAACCTAATGGAGTAAGTTGAAACCCATGGCAGAGACAACACGAGCAATTAAGTATTTTGCATTATTTGACCTATTATGAAAAGAGATGTATTTACATAACACCTTGGTTTGAGAGCGTCCTGCCTCTTACCCGATGTGTGGCGATGATGTGTGGCGATGAGGAGCTCGGCCTCCCTGGGCTCTGGTGCCCTGTTGGGTGGAAGCCTCGTTCTGCAGAGCCATGTCCGTGATGCTGCCAGTCAGTGACTCAGCAGTGCTGCTCCCCACACCAGCCTACCCTGGCCTGTTGCTCTGATAAATAATCACCTCGTGGAAATTACAAGAAAATTCTTAATCATTATCGTTGTATGTTAAGGGAGTATATTTATAAAAGGCAATTACTTTCCCAAACTATCCAGAGGGTAATTATTAACTCATAGGCACCCTTTACGTAAATTTCATCAGCATGGGGATTCCACTACATTCCTCACTGTAAGTTTCCTGCTTGCAGTTGCCACAAATGTGAAAATGATTTGTGTTAACTGAGTGGTAGACACACCCAGCACTGCCGGAGGAATTGGAAAGGACCTTCTTCTGTGTCCAAATCCTAAAGCTACTTTAGTTTCAGATGATAACCCCAAAACAGTCCACCGTAACTCTGCAACTAATGCCCTGTTTCTCTGTGCCTCTAACTTAGACAACATTTTAATTTGGGATTCTTTTTTCTCCCTTAATGGAGGTAACCAATCGGGGAGAGGCACATTTGGAGCTGAATGCATTTCGAAGGAAGCATGATTGTGCACTGGTCATATCTGGGGATTCTCTGGAGGTAAGGCTAGACCCTGAGTGAGTACATGTGTGTCTGTCTGTGTCTCTGAGGCAAGGCTGGTCCCTGGCCGAGCGTGTCCGTCCATCCCAGTGCACCGAGGGCTTGTTGAGTCGAGTGCTTTTGCCTGTCTGTGCTGTTTCGGCAGTCTCCGTTCCGTAGCCGCTGCACCTGCCACTCTGGAAAGCAGCCCCAGCCTGAGGAGATGTCAGAGCTGGATCTCAGCGGTTATTACTCCTCCTTTACACATTGAGAGTCTGAAAGCAGGGCTGGGTCACGGTGATTGTTACTCCTCGGTTAGACATTGAGAGCCTGAAAGTGCTGCAGGAAACCTGGAGCAGGAGCGACAGGAGCCTGTCCAGCGCTGTGGTTCTGGCTCTCTGTCCCATCCACGTTGCATCCGCTGGAGCAGGAGTGTCCAAAGTAGCTTCATGCCTCGTTTTCCTCGCACGCGTGGCCCCCGGCTGAGAGAGCTGTGGCACGGGGGCTGGTGGGAGCCTCTCCCTGCACAGCTTTTGCACAGGCTCATGGACTTAATCGTCCTGGACCTCTGTGTTGCTAGTGTCCCCAGAGCAAGCACTCCAAGAAATCTGGCAGAAGCTGCCCCAGAACGTCACTGGGTCACATGAAGTTGTTCAAGAAAGTCACTAAGGCAGCCTGGATTCCAGGGGAGGGGGATCAGACCAGAAGGTCATGTCGTAGCTCAAATCACAGAGGATTCTCTCTGGTACTTCAAGTGGAAGAACTTCCCTGGGCAGGAGGATGGTTCCGTGTTATATAGAATTTCTTCCCATGATTTTTATATTTTCCCCTGTCCGTGAGTCTTGTGAAATGATTCACAGAATACTGAAAAGATTGAGAACGGTGGCATCTGTTGGCTTTGCTCCCGTGGTTTTGCACTTTCTGCATCACACAAATCTGGGACAGTGTTGTCGACCATAAGGCGAAATAACACAGGCTTTGTTGTCCAGGTTTGTCTGAAGTACTACGAGCATGAATTCGTGGAGCTGGCCTGCCAGTGCCCCGCCGTGGTGTGCTGCCGCTGCTCGCCCACGCAGAAGGCCCACATCGTGACACTGCTGCAGCAGCACACGGGGAGACGCACCTGCGCCATCGGTGAGAGCCGCCCACCCCGCTCACGGGGAGGTCTCCAGAGAAACCCGCAGGCTGACATTGACGGGCAGAGTTTGTTCCATCTCTAAAACTAGACTGATTTCGTCTCTATTCATGGAAGTTTCTGAGATAGCTGCTGATGGTAACAAATGAAAAACGTGATGATGGATGCGGTTTTATTTTATCTCACTTTTCTTGCTTTGCAGGTGATGGAGGAAATGATGTCAGCATGATTCAGGCAGCAGACTGTGGGATTGGGATTGAGGGAAAGGTAGGTTCCCCCTTTTATCAACACATCAGCACACACTCAGCACACAGCACACATCAACACGACTCAGCACATGCTGGGCCATTGTACACTCAGCACGTACTCAGTGCACGTCAGCACATGCTTAGCACACACTCGGTCAGCACACACTCCGCACGTGCTCAGCACACAGCACACATCAGCACACGCTCAGTCAGCACACACTCAGCACGTGGTCAGTCAACACACATCAGCACGTTCTCAGCACACAGCACACATCAACACGACTCAGCACATGCTGGGCCATTGTACACTGAGCACCTACTCAGTGCACGTCAGCACATGCTTAGCACACACTCGGTCAGCACACATCAGCACGTGCTTAGCACACAGCACACATCAGCACACGCTCAGCACACAGCACACATCAGCACACGCTCAGTCAGCACACACTCAGCACGTGCTCGGTCAACACACATCAGCACGTGCTCAGCACACAGCACACGCTCGACACACAGCACACATCAACACGACTCAGCACATGCTGGGCCATTGTACACTCAGCACCTACTCAGTGCACGTCAGCACGTGCTTAGCACACACTCGGTCAGCACACATCAGCACGTGCTCAGTGCACAGTCAGCACACACTCGGCACACACTTGATCAACACGTGCTCAGCGCACACTCAGCACACTCGTTTAGCACACCACATACGCTCGGCACACACTAGGTCAGCACACGTCAGCATGTGCTCAGCGCATACCTGGTCATTTTACACCCAACACATACTCATTGCACGCTTGGTCAGAACACATGCTTGGTGAATGCACACTTGGTCAACACGTGTGTTCAGCACACAGTCAGTCAGCACAGCCTGAAGAGCCTGGTGTGTCCCAGGCACTGAACTGTACATTTGAGTAAAGGAGGAATTGGTCAGAGTCCCCTGCTTCAACCCCACATTTCATAAAGACGATCCTGCCACATGCATTAGAGCCCAGCCCTCGGCAACTTGCTGTTGGCGGAGTGGCATGCAGGGAGGTGTCACTCTTAGTCACCTGCCCTCGGACTCAGTCCAGATGTCAGCAGATCGGCCAGCAAGCCTTTCCGTGGCCTCCCTCCTGTTCCCACGCGCCATTCTCTGTGTGGTTCCTCCCTCCTGTTCCCACACGCCATTCTCTGTGTGGTTGCCTGTGTCTCCTGGCTGAGCTGTGGTTTGAGGTTCATCTTCTGTGCCAGCCTTATCTGTGTTACGCTCTCTTTATCCACAGTCACTTAAATGTTAATACAGACACACCCAAAAAGACCTGGTAAATTCACCCAGCTCAAGCAAGTGTGGCTTTTTCCTTGGCTACTTCCTTTCGTAATGCCTTACAACAGAATTGTGAAAGAGGAGATAGATTATTTCTTTAAATATGAAAAACGGAGAACTGCCTTGAAGAAGCCCAGGATGATAGGGGCGTCCTCCCACAGGGCTGGCCCGTGCTCAGATCACAGGGGCGTCTTCCGACAGGGCTGGCCCACGCTCAGATCACAAGGGAATGCTTCGACAGGGCTGGCCCGGGCTCTGCGACTCTGCTGACTCCTGTGACACCCACAGACTATCGGAGCCGAGCTCTCCTGAAGCGCTTGTGAGAGCCTGGGCTGGTGCTGGGGGCTCTTCCTGCCCCTGTGCCTAAGACCGTAGGACCTGTCCCCATTGACATAACTGAAGCTCTAAAAGTCCTGCAGAGAGAACTTCAGTCTTTGTCAAATGTAGGCTGAGTTCTAAAACTCAGCTTTTGGAGTCTGATTTCCAGTGTCCGCAGTGTTTGAAAGGCCCCGTGTGCTTTTCTTTCAGGAGGGGAAGCAGGCCTCGCTGGCAGCCGACTTCTCCATCAGGCAGTTCCGGCACATTGGCAGGCTGCTCATGGTGCACGGACGGAACAGCTACAAGAGGTCAGCGGCACTCGGCCAGTTCGTCATGCACAGGGGCCTTATCATCTCCACCATGCAGGTACTGAGCCTTCTGTGCTGGCACCGGGGAGGGCAGCGTCCGGGAGACAGGGTGCTGAGTGCTGCTGGAAGTACCTGGGCTGTGCTTAGGAGGTAGCGAGGCCCCTGAGAGGCCTGGGGCCACAGGTGCTCGTGGAACTGACGGTTGTCTTCGTCTGTGGCTCTCTCTCCAGGCTGTGTTTTCCTCAGTCTTCTACTTCGCATCCGTCCCTTTGTATCAGGGCTTCCTCATGGTGGGGTAAGTTACACTCAGCACCTGCCAGCTCATCCAGGGGAGGACATCTGTTTTGGGAAAAAACAAAACAAAACATATATAGAAGATTCTTGATACAGTCATCATTTAGAATGAATAATACTGATGTAAAAACAACATTTTACTTGGGTGAACTTCAAGACGACACCTGCACACTTGTTCCTCCTGGGATTTTCTTACTAGATTTTGTTTTCAGGTGGAAGCCATAGTTTGTGTCAGGAACTGTGTTGGATCTGAGATTTTTAAAGGGTCCCGTGGCAGAAGGCAGAGGGACAGAGTGGCCACTGACAAGCCCTCCCGGCTCTCTGCAGCTGCCCTCCCCTGGCTGGGGCTTCGTCCTGCTGTGGGGCCTGGCCAGCAGCGGAGAACAGTGCGCGCGGGGATACAGCGTGGCGTGCGTCGAAGCAAACACCGTCAGTCTCTCCCGGGCAGGAATGGAATCTCATTTTCAAAGATAACAGCACCAGGGCTGTGCGTGGTGGCTCACGCCTGTAATCCCAGTGCTTTGGGAGGTTGAGGTGGGCGTGGGTGGATCACCTGAGGTCAGGAGTTCGAGACCAGCCTAACATGGCGAAACCCTGTGTCTACTAAAAATACAAAAAAATTAGCCAGACATGGTGGTGTGTGCCTGTAATCCCCGCTACTCGGGAGGCTGAGGCACAAGAATCACTTGAACCTGTGAGGTGGAGGTTGCAGTGAGCTGAGATCATGCCATTGCACTCCAGCTTGGGCAACAAAGCCAGACTCCATCTCAAAAAAAAAAAAAAGTAAAGATAACAGCACCAGTGTCTTAGAAAAGGACACCAAAAGTGCAGCAGGCATGCGACGTGCATTGAAAGCTGAGCTGATTTTGCCGACCACGCCTACCTTATCTGCAAAACAGGAACTTCCTGTGAAGGGTGAATAGGTGGGAATTTCTCTTTTCCTCCTCCTTTGTGGTTATGCCTAGAAATGAAATCAGTGTGACTGTTCATGTTGGCAGCAAACTAAAAGCGGTCTCTCCTCTGCCGCTGACCTCCCTGACCCCTGCAAAGCTTATTCCCACCTTAACCAGGTTCTACCCCACAAGGAGTCTCAGAAAATACTTTAATAGTAACAGCTGCTGGCCTCAGTGCTCTCGGCATTGAACATGCTTTCATCCCCAGCTTGTCCCCACTTCATGTGTGAGAAAAGTGAGAGACCCAGAGAGCTCAGGAACTCGCCCGTGGGAGGCCCAGCTCAGACCTGAGTCGTCGGGGCTGCCGCCGGGTGCTCCTCCTCCCCGTCACCCTCCGAGCTTACCCCAGGTCCACAGAGAAAACAGAGTCCTTTCTCCCTGCAGAGCTGTTTCTAATCCGCAGTCTAAACACCATTTCACTCGACAGCTCCCTGAATCCCAGGAATTCCTCACAATTTTAGCAAAATACAGGGAAATATCAGTCTGTGCGTGTATTAGGTTTTTGATAAACGTGAGGTTCTCTTAAGTCACCTTCTTCCCAAGTCACAATCCCTGAGCGGCGTCCGCATCATCCTGAGCTGTCCAAGGAGCATTGCCATGCACAGAGACGCACTGGGTCTCCGCCTTCCTTCCCTCTCCAGTCTTCAGGTCCTCTCTGTCCTCTGGCCTCCACACATGATGTCCCCTTGGCCTAGACCACTGCCAGATGTCCCCATTGTCCTTGCTTCCCCGGGAGGCCCGGCCCCCCACGGTGCACCTTCACACCCCCATTGTCCTTGCTTCCCCTGGAGGCCCGGCCCCCCCACGCTGCACCTTCACACCCCCGGCCACACAGTTGTATTTCCAGTTAGCGTCCTATTCTGCATGCTCTGCAAGGACAAATCACAACGTATATCAGGTTCTCATACCTGCTGTGGGTTTGTCAGCGTGAACTTCAGTGTGTGTGAATTTCAGAGGAGGGCCAGACTCTGGCGGATTCTAGGCCCCACACCCCAAGCCTCAGGACAGCTGAGTTGTGGGACTCACAGCTACCAAGACTCCTGGGGCACCTGCCTCGGACTCCACGTCCTTCGCCTGCACGTGTTAGCACCGTTCCTCCCAGGGTATCAGGAGCCTGTCCTGTGGTCTTAAAAATCACTTTGAATAAAGTAGGTAAGAGCCTGGGGAAACCTTCGCATGTGTCTTCAGGCTTCTCTCGCCCCTAGCCCTTCATCTTGGCACAAGTGCCTAGGTTTTAGACCCCTGCCTGCTATAATCACACAGGGAGTAACCCCCTTGATCATGATCGTAAGCATTGCAGACTCCCGTTTTGTGGCCCACAAGGAAAGTGCCATCATCGGCCCTGGGCTATCCTGTCCACTGAGGCTCCCTCAGCCCCAGTATGAGGTAGCACAGGATGACACTGTGCATCCATGGTGTCACTTGAGCCTTATTTCATGTCTCTCTGTGACCAAAGAATGTCCCAGCAACCTACCAACTCATAGCCCATACAGTTGATGGAAATCGTGGTAGAATTTGTGCTAATATTCTCAGCTTCCCATGAATTTCAATAATGTTTTCTGTAGTACTTCAAACAAAGGGGAAAAATCCTAAAGGTGCAGTAAGTGCTAACTCTTTTTAAATAGGTTTTCCCATCGCCTACATCTTTACAGTGATTATTACGTTCCTGACTTTTTTTTTTTTTTTTTTTGAGACAGAGTCTTGCTCTGTCGCCCAGGCTGGAGTGCAGTGGCGTGATCTCAGCTCGCTGCAACCTCTGCCTCCTGGGTTCAAGTGATTCTCCTGCCTCAGCCTCCCTAGTAGCTGGGATTACAGGATGTGCTACCACGCCCGGCTAATTTTTGTATATTTTTAGTAGAGACGGGGTTTCACCATGTTGGCCAGGGTAGTCTCGAACTCCTGACTTCAAATGATCCACCTGCCTCAGCCTCCCAAGGTGTTGGGATTACAGGCATGAGCCCTTTCACCCAGCCTAGTTGCTTTTAAATAGTATCGAATTTGCACAGTAATGCTGATTGCATCTTGAGTTTGAATAGTGTGTTTCTTCCTTGGAAGTCATAGAAAAGCATAACCATTCTCACCTTCTTTCGTATTTTAAAAATCATGGATTTGAAACATTGAAAGGAAAATGTAGGGGACCATGGAGATTATTCTTTAAAGAACTACTGCTTGGGTTAGCGAGGCCTGGATGCCTGCCTCATAGCCCGAGTGCTCCACGGTGTCCCCAGCTCCTGTTCCTACAGCTCTTCTTTATAGTGGGCTTTATGTAAAGTCACTCTGAGTGTCCATCACGCAAGAAATGTCTGTGACTTTCTTAAGCACTCATACTCTGAATTTGGTTAGGTGGGAGCTTTGGAGGGGCAATGCTTTTAGTTAATCTTTGAAAATAAATAATGAGTTTGCCTTCACCTAAGAAATAAATACCAAGAAGTGAGCAAAAAGCAACATGGTGTTTTTACAAAATAACATCTAACTAGACCAAAATCATGGCTATGATAGAGAAACTGGCTCTAGAAGCTAGAGGACAGTTGACAGAATTTAATTCCACAAATATGGTTTTCATCTGCGTTCATTTCATCAGCTCTGGAGGGAACTGGTGGCCGAGGTGACTTTCCTGAAGCAAGAGGCCCCAGGAGCAGGAAGGACTAGGCATACTCAGTGCACAGCAGGGAAACCAGGGAGGGACCAGGGACCCCGGGGGCCATGAAGGTGGTGATGGGGAACCCTAGGGGCATGGGGAATGGGGCAGCAGGAGGGGCTGGGAGAGACAGAACAGCCTGGGGAGGCTCCTGTGATCCCCAAGCCCACCCTGCCCTTGCTCCCCAAGCAGGCCTAGGGAATGCCATGCCCTCCGCCAGAAAGAGAGCTCCTAGGCCAAGTCCTCATGGGGAACCTCTGTGGGGTGCAGCATTGTGCACTTTGGCAAGCTGGAGGCTCTGAGAGAGACTCCTGATCTCATGAGCCCACAGCTCATGTTCCACAGAAATGCTTTGGGAAACGCTAGTCTGAACTGGCCGGAGGTGTCTCCCCAGTGACTCTGGCAGCTGCCCGCAAGGATCTCACACACAGCACCACGGCATAGCAGCCATTCCTGGGTGTGGGTCTCCTTTATGCCCTTGCTAGTGACTCAGATGGAGAGCCTGTGAGCGCTCTTGTTAAAGTTAGATTGAACCTTAATTGAGCACCAAGAAGGTGCATGACATTCCGAGAGAGAGCTCTGGGCAGGAGGAGCACAGGCAGGTCCCTCAGGGAGCCGTGTCCAGACTTGCAGAAATGGCAGGCTCTGCGGGTTTATCAGAGAGGGTCTTCAGAACTTCTGCTTCCAGCCATGATTGGAATAACAGGAAACAGATTTATCTTCCAAGCCTAATCAAGTGGAAAACATGAGAAAACACATGAAACAAATGTTTTCAGACATTGGATAGGAAGCAGTGGGGACGGTGGTGCCTCTGAGAAGAGAAACAACTCTCCCACATCTAGAACCAACATCCAGACGGCCTCGAAACCTCTGTGTTTCAATAGTCCTTGTACCTGAGATGAAGTTTCTCAGCGTAAACTTCAGTGTGTGCACATCTCAGAGGAGGGCCAGGCTCTGGTGGGTTCTAGGGCCCCCCAACCTGTGCCCAGGTTGGCACAGACTTCCAAAGCACAAACATCATGACGCACTGAGAATAAACTGAGATGATGGACTTCATAAAAATTAAGTTTTTGCTCTTCTAAAGACAGTGCTAATCAAGTAAAAGGCAGACAAGAAGGAAATACTTTCAATACATATCTTCAACTCGATGAAACAACTCAGTTTTTTTTTAAGATGAAATATTTGAACATCCATCACAAAAGAAGACATAAGAATGGCAGTAAGCACAAGAAAATGTATGTAACATCGTTAGTTACCAGGAAAGATAAATTTAAGCCACAGAGAGAGTTAAGGTTCTGCCACTGCGGAGGCCAAGCCGAAAGGCCGAGCGGCGTGTTGGCAGGCGGGCAGCAGGGCGGCACTGCTGGCGAGAGTGCAGATGGTCCAGCCACTCCAGAAAGCAGACTGGCAGTTTTTATGAAATTAAACATTCACTGTCCATGCCCCAGCAACCTCCCTCCTCAGTGTTCACCCAGGAAAAAGGAAAACACTCATTCTTCCACTCAGACTGGCACCAGGACTCTCACCACTCAGCTGTGATCTCCACAGACTGGGAAAACACCAATGGCCATCCGCCGGGGGGTGGAAGAGCTGCGCTGTGTCCATCGCCCTGCAGCACAGAGAAAGCAGAGGACACACTCGGCAAGGTGGGCGAGCCCCAACACCGCTGGCCTGGAAAGACCCACCCGCAGAGAGCAGAGACCACCCGGAGAGAATAGCCAGGTGTCGGAGAGCTTGCGGGAAACAGCCATTTTTGTGGGACTCGCGGCAGCGAGGGAAGCAGGGGTTTCCCACCTGGCGCATCACAGGCCTCCTCCTGGCGGGTGACGGAGATGCTCTGCGTCATGATCACACCGTGGTTCCATGACGCTTGTCAAAACTCATCGCTCACATGCTGAAAGTTACACCTCCAGAGAGTAGGTTTGTGAAAAGGAGGCAGCAGTGCGGTTTTTGTTGTTAAGGGCTGAAGAGATAGGGAGATTTCTGGCATAAGTAAAGCAAGAGTTCTCATAAATGCACATACGGAAATCGTGACTGCACGTGGTCCTTCCTGCTGGTGTGAGCGAGTCACAAGCCGCACGGCTGAGTGTCCACATGCCTGTGTGCACGCAGAACAGGACGCCCGCCCTCGCCAGGCATCGCCAGGGGATGACCTGCCATCTTAACTCCTGGTTGGGCTCTCCTTGAATTATTTGTCCCTGTTCCTAAATCCTAAGCAGAGTGGGAGTTGTTCAAAGAAAGTTAACAAAAGTGATTAAAGATTTCGAGGGAAGTACAGCAGTGTTGTACAAGTTCAACCCAATAAATTAAAGTTGAATTTCTGGATAAAGTTCTCTGAGCATGTAGATGTTTAGTGCCCAGCAGTGACCCGTCAAGAAAACAATGTGAGCTAGACTAAAAGTACCTTAGAAGAAAACGTTTCATATAGAACCCACAACAGTTTTAAAAATAGAACAGTCGGTGACCATGGGATCTCAGTCATATTAAAACAGAATATAGCCTTTAGGTATCCGCATGTTTCCAGGCTACAAGATAACGTGGTGTCATGGGTGTTTCTGGTTCTCTGCCACGAGGTCACTTTCCCAACCTGAGATAACTATGAGAATGCTTTCTCATAGGTGACAATGTCATTTAACAACAACGACAAAAAAAACCCCAGCCAAGTGCAGTGGCTCATGCCTGTAATCCCAGCACTTTGGGAGGCCAAGTTGGGAAGATTTCTTGAGGCTAGGAGTGTGAGACCAGCTGGGAAACATGGTGACACTCCATCTCTACAAAAGAACATTAGCTGGGCATGGTGGTGCATACCTGCAGTCCAGCTACTCAGGAGGCTGAGGTGAGAGGATCAGCTGAGCCCAGGAGGTCAAGGCTGCAGTGAGTGATGATTGTACCGTTGCACTCCAGCCTGGGCCACGGAGTGAGACCCTGTCTCAAAAAAAAAAATCCCAGCTCCACTTCCGGCCCAACTCCACTTCCAGGACAGTGGGAGGTGGAGTAGATGGGTTCTTCCCTGCTCCTTCTGCTAAGTTGAGCTTGAAACTGTGGGCATCACACACAGAAGGCTCTGAGTGGGGAGCGAGGTGAACAGAGGGGCAAGGGCGAGGCGGCAGGAGCTCCCCACATTTTCCAACAGCTGGAGCTGAAGGAGCCGGCAGCCTGGCAACGCCCATGGGTGCAGAAATTTAAAATTTGAAAGTCCCAGCGAGGGCCCAGCCTCTCCAACCGCAGGTCCACAAAAGGGGCGCCAGGACGACAGATGACTTTCAGATGATCGTCACTCTACTCCACCCAGACGCCAGGGAAGGGCTGTGCCCGCCTGCCCCTCCCCAAAAAGGCAAGTGGAGAGCTGAAAGTGCCACTTCACGAGATGTAGCGAGGCACCCAGCATCTCCAGGGTGATGGAATGGTAGGCAGGACTCCATCCCCAGTGTCGGGGATAATGAGCCCCTCAGTGTCAGTGGAGGCCGCACAGGGAGCCTGAACCCCTGCCCCTGCACAGCAGCAAGAACAGTGCTCTCCTCTCCCCACCGCAGCAGGGTCAGCACCCTTCAGAAAATTCAGAGTCTCATACGCAGTACCCGGAATGTCAAGGCTTCCGTCAGTCCCTTGCCATACCGAGAACCAGGAAGATTTCCAGGTGAATGGAAGACAGGCAACAGAAGCCAGCCCTGAGATGGCAGAGATGCTAGAATTCTCTGACAAAGACTGGGAAACAGCCATTACCAACATACTTGGAGCAAATGGCAAAATAGAACAGCCCAGCAGACAAGATACAGAGCAGAACCAAATGGAAATCTTAGAGATGAGAAATAACCCAGACAAAAAAATGCCACGACTGGGCTTAGCAGCAAAATAGAAGGAACAGAGGAAGGACACGGTGAACTGGAATATAGAAAAACAGAAAGTCCTCAATATGAACAACAGAGAGAAAATTGACTGAAAAAAAAAATGGATCAGAGCCTCAGGGACAGCAAAATGGTAACTGTACCGTTTGTGCCGTGGGAGCCCTGGCCTCTGACCGTTGGTGCCATGGGAGTTCCAGGGGAGAAGGGACACGGCAGGGCTAGGAAAGTACTTGAAGGAATAAAGACTGAAAACCTCCCAGATTTGGCAAAATACATAAATGTACAGATTCAAGAAAGTAAGCAAACCCTAACAGGATAAAGTCAAAGATAATCGTGATCAAACTGATGAAAACCAAAGACAAAGAAACCCATTGAAAGCAGCCAGTGGGGCGACAGGGTATGTTGGGGATAATTGGAAACCGTGCAGGCAGAGGGACTCAGGTGCTGGAGAAAGGCCTCATGGGCACGGGATGCTGCAGCCAGTGAGGGCCACTTCCGGAAGGGAAAGCAGGTGTTGGCAAGACTTGTGTCCAGCAGTCCCTAAAGAATCTCCAAGCTCAGCCGTGAAGGAGCAGCCCCGTTAAGAAAAGGACAGAAGGCGCAGAGGCAGCCACCCTGTGTGTGACGGGATGCACAGACCGCAAGCAAGCCCGTGGAACGATGCCCGCATCGTCAGCCACAGAGACCAGGTTAGACCACAGGGCGCTCCGCCTCACACCTGCCAGAATTGTGGGGAAGAGTCACGGAAACTGGGTAGCTCTTATATTGCTGTGGGAGCATAAATCCTACTATCTGGAAGATGTTTTAACAATTTCTTTGAAAAACTGTACCACCACCATGTGACCTAGCACCCACGCTCCCGGGCGTTTATACCATCTCACTCGGCACTCCTGTCCAGACCTAGCACCCACGTTCCCGGGCATTTATACCATCTCA